AATCAAGGTGAATAATACTTATAGTTTTATTTCGAATAATTTAAGGTCAGTAAATACGTTGACCATGTATATGAACAATCCAACGCTCATCTGATTCAGATGTGCAAGAACTTGAAAAGTTTTTGTGTTGTGGTGGATAGTTGGACTGAACATTTTACTGGTAAGAATATAACGTACTAAGATCTAACGAGGTCGAAGCTTTCGAAACTATTTACTTACGCTTGTTTAGGAATCAATTATTGTGGTATTGCTTTACGATTTGTTGATGATGATTATAAACTTTGGTCATTTATTTTGGGTTGTTATCCATACGATGCACCTAGCCATTCAGCTGTACATTTTCGTACATTTGTTGATAATAAATTACAAGAATATAATTTACAACTTGACATTTCTAAATTTGTTGTTTCGGATAATGAACCGAAAATGTTAGCGGCATTTCGAGATAAATGTACTAGAATTGGTTGCTCCGACCATTATTTAAACAAACAATTACAACATGGATTCGAATCTCCAACTATTCATGTAAACAAAAATACGGTGGAAAAGGTGAATTGTGAAGCTGCTCAAAAAACTTTTCGTCAAGTAAAACAACTTGTTACGGATGTCAGACGTTCACATCGTCGACAGCAGCTATCTATGAAATTACAAATATATAGTCAAACTCGTTTTAGTGGAGCTATGATTATGCTCGATATATTTCGAAAAGTGTTTTATGAATTACCATTAGTAATAATCAATAGCAATTTGATGGATATCTACAATTCAATTGATAAACTTTCACTTGATGATATTTGTCAATTTCTTGGACCATTTGATGAAGTTATTAATACACTTAGCGAAGATAAGCGACCTAGTTTACATAGTGTAATTCCATTACGACAATGTTTAATTAATATGTGTGCAATTGGTGATGATGATTCAACAGCTGTAGCTGAATTGAAAGTATTCTTAGGTAAGAAAAAAATTCAACCTATTTGTCTTCGTACACTTAAATATATATATATATATATATATATATATTAGCTCATCGAATTAAAAGTGCTTGGCTTATTACAACTGAACATAAGCTGGCAACAATTCTTCACCCGAAAATGAAGAATTTTGAAAATTCTCCAGATGAAAAAGATAGTGCTATTTCTGAATTAAAATTAGCATTTGACAAAGAATTGAGTATTTCATCATCATCCATTTGTTTATTAAATTCTAATCAAGATATGTCCTTGTCTTTATCCGGTCAAAATACAAATGGTACAACATTATCATCTAAAAATAAAAGTCTTTTAACTCAATGTTTTGATAATGTATCTAATGTATGTGTTAAACCACCAAATCAATATCAAGAAATCGATGATTATTTAAATATTAGTGATAATTACAATTATGTTTATCATGAAAATGATGATATTGATGTGTTATCTTACTGGAAAGAGAAAAAAATCAATTTCCCACATTGGCGACTTTAGCTAAACAAGTATATGCCATTCCAGCATCCAATACTATTGTAGAAAAGTTATTCTCAGCTTCAAAAAATTTAGTTAGTGAAAAACGTACTAAACTTGGATCTGCAAAAATTAATCGATTATTGTTCTTACAAAAAATTATAACCAATTAAAACCACTTTTGTTTGAAAGTAAGAGAAAAAGAACTATTTCAATATCATCGACATCTACAGAATCATCAGAATGTTCAACAAGTATTGAACCTAAACGACCAAAAGTTGATAATGAAGACAATGATGATTCATCAGATGATTTAGAAATGTTCTTTGATTGATTTTGTCTATGTTTCCATAGTATTGACTTTGAAAAGTTATAAGTGAAACGTGTCTATTCTATTTTTTCCTTGAACATATTCTTTTTATTCACAATCAAGAGCTTTTCTCTATTAAGTGCACTTTAAATTTATATGAAAAGTTATATTTTGTCTTGATACGTGCTACATATGAAAAATAAAGTTTTTGATTTTTGAAAAACAAAACTACATCCGTATAGTTGGAAGTGAGTTACGATTTTGACTCCGAAATTTCTCTAATCGATCCGACTCCGACTTCGACTCCGAAAATTTTATTTTTTCAATTCCGATTCCGACTCCGACTCCGGCGGAGTCGGAGTCGGAGTTCGGAGTCAAAAGTCGATCTCTAGTAGTGACCGATCTGTAAATCTATCTACTTTTTCTACGTGAATGATAAACCCAAGTATTTTACATCATTCGACCCGTCATACTATCAGGCAAAAAGTTACGCATCGGTATTTTTCGATTTTTATTTTCCTGCAGAGAAAACCCGGTTTTTCTGAAACCAGCACTATTTTAGACAGTATTTGAGGACTTGAGAGTACACAAATTGTTTTAGATCCAATCTAAACACATATTCAGAATCACCATGAAAAACTGAATCGACTGGAGTATGTTTTAGACGACTCCAACAACTTTCATTTATTTTTGTTTTTTAAGGTATGACTGAAAGGGTAAAATTTCTGGATGCAGGTGAGAAAATGAAAGGTGTTGGAGTCGTCTAAAGCATAC